GCTCCTTTTTTTTTTTTTTTTTTTAATTCTGGGCCAGCTTTAGCTCTGGGTCCAGCTCTGAGGCCTCTGCTGCTGAAAGCAGGTATCTGGTTTGTTTGGGTTTTATAATCAAAACAATGTATAACTCCAGCTCTGAGATCCCAGACTCGCTGAAAGCTGGTTTCTGGGGTTTTGTTTAGCTTCTATATTTGTTACTGTGTTTCAAACTGCAAGCTCAGAGGCCAGCAAGCAGGCGGGGAACGTTGGAGTCCTCTGTCACTAAAGAAAGCAAGCCTCATGTTTTTTCCAGCTGCCTGGCTGACGGCCGCCATCTTGGCTGCAGTTAATTTGCATATCACCCTGATTAGCCAATGGGAAGGGTAGCGGTCGTACACTAATTACCATGTTTCTCTTTTATTAGATATGATATAGACACACACACATATACAGAAGAATAATATAATGAACTTTTGTATTATATATATATCAGCTTTGATGTTTACCAACCTCAGTAGGTCCCCCAAACCTTATCTTCCCACTAGGTTTTCAGTTTTTAAGTCAAATGCTTTTAAATACTGTGTGCTTGTATGTATGTACTCATCTTAGTAATTTGGAATTGTAACCATAGATTATTTTTATAACTGGATGTAGACTTTGTGAACAAGTTTTTAAAGTGGCCCTTGGGGTCTCATTTATAGAAAAGTAAGAGCTCTCTAGTACTTATAATTAACTAAAGTGAAGAAGACTCCTACACTAGTAAATTTGTTGGGGAAAGTGTCTATCGGTTCCTTTGTTTTTATCCAGTCGTAAAATGTTTATTCATGACACAACAGTTTATTCATACATATGTACAAGTGTATCTGTCTGAAGATTGAATAAATAAGGAAATTCATGTTTTTATTTACTTTTAATTCCATCTGAATTTGCACCATTTCAGTCTTTTGCAGGCAAGAATGTTTATTGAATTATCACTTAGCCTAGAGACTCTGCTAAATTATTTACATGCTTTAGATTATTGAATCCTCTTAACAATCTTGAGACATATACTGTTGTCTAGGTTTTGTAAGGAATAAACTGGGCTCAACAAATTTAATGTTTCTCAGCCAGAAAATGGCAGAACCCTTATTTGAATAGTTTATCTTAAGAACTAATGTCTTTTCGTCATACCTCACTGCCAAAGAGCCTGTTGAGAGTTGTCTGGTCAGTGTAAGTATAGCATTTTCTGTTTATAAGCTCACAGTTTTAGACCCATACTTGCTTGCAGTACAGTGAATTGTCATACCATAATCTACTATATTAATATTGATGATATTTCTCATTATAACTTGTTATTAAACCTAATTTACAGGTATTTTGTTTACCACTTTCTTAGTTGTGAATTATAAGCAAGAACTATTCCTGTTCTGAAGATAGTTCCCTCTAACCTTTTCTTTCCCAAGACTCAGGTAGTGTGCTCACAGGCATGCCCTGATTAGTACGTAGGCAAGGAGGGGACCCTCTGTAGATCTCTGGAGCTCTCTCTGGTCAGCTTTTTCCTCCTCGGCGG